GGGCGGCGTATCGGTGTGATGTAGTTTGTCATGTTCACTGAACCACATTTCACTTCTAGCCCAAAATATATTCATAATATCACTATCACAGTCACATACTGACTCCTCTCAGGTGAGTCACAGACTGACAGCAGCTATTGACGGTGTTTTTTCCACCTGGACGTCTTATGTTTCAGGTGAGTCCTGAGGACGAGGCTCGGAGGAGGAAGAGCACTGAATGTGTGAGGACCAAACCTGCAGAGAGGGTGAATAGTTTTCAGCGCTGATGTGCGAGGTGAGGATGTATACACACACACACACTCACTCACCTGAGACTGATGACATGAAGGCTCAGGTGAAACAAAAAGGTTCTAGAATGAACGTAGAACGGACATTAGACTGTCTGCTGTGGAAATTTTACTTGTTCAAAAGAAACTGGCGATTGTTATGGTGACATTATCTCATCGTGTAGACTGGGCCTATAATCACATTCATAATGTTATGTTAGAATAGTGTTAACATGCTAGTGTCGAACACTTATTTTTAAAATACTAAAGTTAATAAGGTAATGTTAACATGTTAGTGTTAAAATGTTATGTTAAAATATGAATGTTTACATGCTATTGTTAAAATATGAATGTTTACATGCTATTGTTACAATATTAATGTTTACATGCTATTGTTAAAATGTTGTTACAATATTAATGTTTACATGCTATTGTTAAAATGTTATGTTACAATATTAATGTTTACATGCTATTGTTAAAATGTTATGTTAAAACACTAATGTTTACATGCTATTGTTAAAATGTTATGTTAAAACACTAATGTTTACATGCTATTGTTAAAATGCAATGTTAAAACACTAATGTTTACATGCTATTGTTAAAATGCAATGTTAAAACACTAATGTTTACATGCTATTGTTAAAATGTGATGTTAAAATATGAATGTTTACATGCTATTGTTAAAATGTTATGTTAAAACACTAATGTTTACATGCTATTGTTGAAATGTTATGTTAAAATATCAATGTTTACATGCTATTGTTGAAATGTTTTGTTAAAACACTGTTTACATGCTATTGTTAAAATGTTATGTTAAAATATTAATGTTTACATGCTATTGTTAAAATATTAATGTTTACATGCTAGTGTTAAAATACTAAATTGAATGTTTATGTTATAATGTTGACATGCTAATAGTTAGTGTTAAAGTACTAATGTGAATACGTCAGTTCTGTGTTCTGTTAAAATATAAATTTTACAAGCTAGAGTTAAAATGTAATGTTAAAATATGAAGTGGTGTTTATAATCATATTTATAACTGTCTGCAGATCACGTTCTTCTGATTTAACAATATGAACATGAACAGGTGATGCTTGTTGTTTCAGGCGTTTCTGTGGATGTAGTCCGCTGTGGAACAGCTCACCTTTCAGGTACTAACACTTTTATTACCTTACATCCTCCAGTACCTGTTTTTACTTTAAATATAAAACACATGTTTTATTTAGAAAATCAGCTCAGAGAGGAAGAGAAGGGTGAGGGGTGTGAGATGAAGAAAAAAAAGGAATGACAGTATGAGAAAGAAAGGAGAAAGTAAGACTGGAACTAAGTCCAGGTAGAAAAGGAGAGAGGTGGAGAACCAGTGGAAGAAGAAAAGAAAGTAGACGGACATGATGAAATAAGTGAATGAGGGCAGAAAGAAGGGAATAAATAATAGAAAACAGAAGAACAAGGACACAAAGAAGGGAATGTGGAAAAGAGAAAATGTTACAAGAAAAGAAAGAAGAGGTGACGAGAGCTGCAGCATTCAAGGATGTGGTTAGAATGAGAGAGTCCTCACAAATACACTAATATTATTCAGTGACGTGTGTGCGTGAGGCAAGGCACGTTTATTTGTACAGCACATTTCAACAACGAGGTAATTCAAAGTGCTTCACATAAAACCATTAAAAGCATCAAAACATAAGGCAAAAGAAAAGGAGATTTAAAAACAATTAAGAACATTCATTAAGACACTAAAAAGCAGTGTAAGAAATAGAATACAGTAGTATAGTAAAATGCAGAAATGTATTAATATCCTTGAATGTGGTTGAATTAAAGGCAGCAAACAGAAAAGTCTTCAGTTTTGATTTAAAGGAGCTGAGGGTCTCAGCAGACCTGCAGCTTTCTGGACTTTGTTCCAGATATGTGGAGCAGAAAAACCTGAACGCTGCTTCTCCATGTTTAGTTCTGACTGGGAACAGAAAGTAGACTGGTCCCAGACAACCTAAGGGGTCGGAATGGTTCATGAGGTAGCAGCAGATCGGAGATGTGTTTTGGCCCTAAACCATTCAGTGCTTTATAAACCAACAGCAGTATGTTAAAGTCAAGTCTTTGTTGGACAGGAAGCCAGTGCAAAGACCTCAGAACTGGAGTGATGTGATCCACTTTCTTGGTCTTAGTGAGGGCTTGACTCGAGAGCAGAGCATGCTGGATAGATATGCTCGCGGCACATTGAATGTTAAATTCAAGAGGTGACGACGTTCTGCTGCTTCATCCTTCTCTTCCTCACCTGAGACCGACAGTGAGCTCACACAACTTTGAAAATATATATGTATGTATGTACTGTATGTATATATATATGTATGTACTGTATGTATATGTGTGTATATATATGTGTATATATATATATATATATGTATGTATGTATATATGTATATATATATACGTATGTATGTATATATGTATATATATACATATATATATGTATATATGTATAT